TCGGAACCGAGAGCCAAGCAAGAGGTTTGACAACGATCCAGTCAGCTTACCGTTTTTTGTATGTGTATATGTATTCCTGTTTTCCCTCTTCTCTATAGGTAAACAAGCTTTTCATACAATAAATGAATACCTATACGCTTTCAACTGTTATATTTCACCACCTGCGGACGAGAAACGTTATAGGTTTGGGAATGGAAATGTATTATCGTGACTGATCCGTGTGGTTATAGTAGTATTCTGTTATCCGAAACATGCATCGTTGTGCATTTGCCAAGCCAACGTTATCGTGCCCTAAGATTCGCTCTCCTTCAAGCTGAGGTTTCATCTCCGGATCACACGTCGCTATAGGCAAAATGATGGTGAAATAATCGATCGAAGGAGATGGGCCTCTGGTACGTACGGTCGGACACTCACCAGAATTGAAAGCATTGGTTCCGAACTCTAATCTTTCTATCTATTATTGGCTGCATTTCCCATCAGTACCCACCCGTCAAACTAAAAGGAATATACAAACTGTAGAAAATCTCACTAAGGTCGATAGCCAAGGTTCCAAATATTTATTACTCAGCAACATGGTCAGTATGTTTTTGTGTTGAACCTTACCTGAAACAGTGCATAGGAATTATGGGACCTCGGAAAACCCGGGAGGGGAAATATAAAGACCCTTTTTGAGAAGGTGAAGACGGGATTTGCCGTTCTGCGGACGGATATTTTGAACGGTACCACGGTCGGGACCAAAATCGAAAGATCTCTGAGAGGAATGTGTCCAAAGATGATTCGTTTGGGTCATCTTGACCTTAAAGCACCGGAACAGAAAAGATTGTACATGTCCAACAGTTTTGTAAATATCCGCGATAGGTAGTGGATAAGAGGCACCCCGGGGGATTCAATCTTTTGAAATCTCAGAGCATACATTTTGAATCAATCATTGTCCCGAAGAGGGAACTCAACCCGAAACTCGGTGCATTTTATGTTTCACATGCGTCTGAGTTCAGACCGTGCGAAACAATTCGTGGTAAAAATATTCCTAACAAAGAAAAAGCTCATACTTTGTTAATGGATGACATACTGCCCAGTTGCTCAGGCCAAAGTAGGTGATTTTTCTTGGGGAATCACAATAACAGCCTTCAGTTTCAATGCCTAACCCACAAGGCAGTGTGTGAAAACCGCAATCCATTGTGTGCCGGTGTCCAGTTCTTCGGATCATACGCCGTTTTGTCTCTGTAAAACGTGTCCAAAACACCTCGGATGGAACCGGTGACCACTGTCATATTTATGAAGATTTGCTCGTAAGTCTCTTTTTGGTTGGTTTGGAATCAGTGCTTGGTCAACTCTCCCGGGTGAACTGCCAATGGTTCAACAGCCCGCTGATAGCTCCAAATGTTTGATTTTCATCATCGCAATTCGGCAAGGAAACACCCAGCCACGCGAAGGCAATGAGTAAAGACTCCTCAGCGCAAGTTATTTGAAATTCTTGATCGTATCAGAGCAACTCGCGAGATGCAAGGGAGGAATGAACCGAAACGTTCACCCCTGAGCATATTGAGATCTCTTCTGAATGTGCATTGAATTACCTTTTACCGGACTATTGTTATCTTGGAACAGTCCGATAGCAACCAATCTGCTGTTATAGATGATACATATATATAAATATTCCTTAATTCGGAGTTATTGGATACGCGAAAGAAAACCTACGAAGCCCACTCTGCGACGCACGACGGTCGATTATACCGGTTTAGGTTGGAAAAATCAAAGGCGGACACATTTACCAACCACATAGGATCGGTGTTGCATATAAGCAAAATGGAAAAAGGCCAAACAATATTCCGTCTCAAGCGAAAAACCCGGTCGTAGATCATTGACTTTCGGAAACAAAATGGGGTAAAAAAGGAGACTGGAACAGATGATGACGTTCTCTTTAAACCGATAACCGTGTCAGTTTGTGTGATTACCAGCACTACCTGGACTGACATCATTTACATTCGTCAATGGGTTAACCCGGTGAATACTTCATTTGAGTTTATCTCCTTTAGGGCGAGAACCAAGCTCTTCGCTCTTATTTTAGTGTATCTCCGAGAATTAGTGACCAAAGATTTGGGCAAACAAATTTATCTCACAAAATAAACACATGAAATAATGCTTTATTGTTAACTGTACACCTGAAAACTCCCCTTCGAAATCGATCCATTCAATCAGCTCATCAGAAACGTCGTGAATAGCTCAGTGACGGCTTGGCCGAGGCCTCAACGAAGATGCAGAGGCACTGACCGAAGGTAAGAACCCTTCAACCATGACTCACGTAATTCGATCATCTGCTAACCCAGCGCTCTTCGATTTTCAACGGATATCAGCGCTAGTTGCAAAACCTGTATTGCCTGTTGGTCCTCAGAAATGAGACGAATCAGCTGAACACTCAACCTTGCTTTTCACAAATATGATCGAGTGCCGTGTTCCATCGGCATAAAAACACCGCGTGCAGGAATAAACGACTCGCTCAATTTCTCTCCTGCTTCTACCGCGTGATCACAGATAAAATCATTTGGCAACTCAGCCTCTAGGTTTCTTATGCTCTGAGCGCTTTGTGGCCGACAAGCCTTTACCAACGAGCCCCATCTGGGTGGTTTCAAACAGGGGTCATGCGGTTACTTTCATTGCATTCAATGTGTCCTGCCTAATGTACGTTTCTACGATTTAGAATGCTGCGTTTGGGGTAAACAATCCGATTTGCATAGACACCAGCCGAGGTGACATCATCTCGGCTGGTGATCAAACGTTTGCAAAGCTCGGCGAAATGGAGTTGGAGGGTGGTTTATTCGTTTAGCAGACGCGTCTGTTTTGCTGCTCCCTCTCGCGTTTGGTTTGCCTTCAAACAAATTACGGATACAATGTCAACAAGCTAAGCGCGCGAATCGGAGTTGTGTCAATTAACTTTTCCAATAGACAGAGAACTAAAAACTCGTATACCAATCTTTTGCTCGATGAATTTGAACAACGTCATCCCCAATTTAGCTCAAGTGAGAGAATAATGTCACTCACCACCTGCCTGGCTAGACCGTACCACACCAGGGTGATGTGAATGTGAAATGTCCCACTCGATCTAGCACGGAAGTAGAATAACTACGACGAAACACTTACAATCCGACTCGAATTAATCTCGGCATGCTCAGGATCATTTTATGGAGCCACGAGTTACTATGGTTATCAGTGCATGAACCCAGGGATGTAATCCTCATCCATCCACTCCGACACCCATACTTTGCTGGTTATATGTTCATCACTTCGATGCGGAACTGTTTATTTATGACATAAGTAGAAAAAATTAAAGTGCAGCTACATAGAACCAACTATGTAATCTGCAACAGAGTAGTTGCGTTTTCATGAAAGATTCCTGAACGGTAGTCAAGCAGTTCAAGTTTGTTTGAGTGTCCTGGAACAACAATGCGGGATCTATTATTCTGCGTCAATATGTCGCGAGGAACCAAAAACTGCTTCATTATGGAGCCAAAAGCGTTCGTGCAATGCGAGCAGTCCTTCACGATACTAAGACGTACTACTACTACTACCACCGAATCACTATTATCTCTATGCGAATGCTCAGTTTTGAACAGCCAGTCGAAATTTACCTAGTTCACTATCGTGTGTCCTCATTAACTGCCCCTATATCTATTCCGCTCCGAACGCCTTAATTTGTCCCAGCCAGGGATGTTACAGTACTGTATGAAATGCTGCTTTTAATTCTTCGCTTTCCGAAATGAACTGAATCTAACGTAAAGTAACTCGCTATAGAATTAACGCAACCCATGACCACTGATCTATCGTCTGACGCTCGTTTTATCATCGATTAATCAATACCTTCAATCTCCATAGAGCTGACGATAATACGTTAGTGGAAAACGCGGTACCGAGCACCTTGATTAGCAGCCACATGATGAGGTTTCGGTCATCTTTTACTCAAGCACATCAAGGTTCAGCACTCCCCTCCTTGTTTCCTCTCATATTTTGGAAGAAGAAAACAACCTAGGAAGAATGTCTCGTTCACATAGCCCACGATTACAAAATCTTCAACCAAGCGGTCTGTATGTTTGGCCGCAAACCAGCTCTAAGTAACATTTTTAAAAAATCTAGTCATCTACGGGATGGTTTTCGTTATCAACGGTATGTTCTCGCGCATCACCGTGAACTACAAACGGAAAGAGAATAGACCCGAAATATTGTAACCTTGACAATGACAGGCTTAGACGGAAAAACTGCATTTGAGGTCAAACGCGTCCGATATATTGCATAGATTCGACAACGCTCCAGTCCGAAGGGACAAAATTTTGCTAACGTATTCGGGAATTCATTGTTCCGGATGACTAGGTGGTCATTTAGGAACTGGAGCAGTTAATGGATCCCTATTCGACGACAAAATGTTACTGGTTTGTAGGAATATGTACACTCATACATTACATTTCACATGAACGTGTATGAGCTGATGAATGACAAGAGTGAATGAGTATGTTGGACAAGGAGGCAGGAGAAGAGAACAATAGATGGCCAGGAGGAGGTGAAAAGGTGAGGATGACAATAGCAGGTGGGGAATAAATGCATCATCGTAATGTCGATTGATGTCCATGCGAAGAACTGATGGAGTGGAATATGTTTCGTTTAGTGCCATGGTGTGGGGAAATAAATGCATTGAAGAACTGAGGAATAGGGAGAAAGACACTTGCACGACACAAATTAGATAAACTGAAGCCTCCATAACGTAAGAGCGTGGACCAGGGAAAGATAAACAGTGGACATGGGAGGATTTTGAGGATGGCAGCGGCGAGGGCAATGACAATCAGACATTATTAAGTAAAGGTAGACAAACTCAAATGAAACATACCCAAAAGACAAGCTGGCTAAGATGGAGAGCGAAGGAAATCGCACGGAGCATAAATGCCTTCTTCATGTTAAATGCAATACCATCGTCATGTCTGCACGAAGTGAAAACAATGCACGAGAAGACAGAGTAGTCAAACAAACCCGTTTGTGATGGCACTGTCCGGGGGAGCAGGCCAGTCAGGGGAAGGCTCTTTGGAACTACCTCCATTGTTCGTCCCGTTAGCAGACCCNTCGTATAGGCCGAATGAGGCATACGAGGGCACTTTAGTGGGCAAACCGACCTGGATGGCGGGTGTAACAGTATACTGTGGATGAGCGCGGTTCAGGATTTTAATAAACTCGGCTGTTTTGGCACGCATTCGACGGTGGATGTAGCCTTTGGAGCACTTGATGTGATAATGCAGATAGTTACGCAACGTGTGAATGAGGTTTATTGTTCGCGGTGCGGCAGTCTCGGTTAGATGGCGTGGGAAGAGAACTAGAAAAGACGGATGAGTCATTAGACGACATGGATACTGAGTTCCTACCACAAAAAACGTTTTCAATGGTTTTGAAAGACTGTGAAGTGAAAGAGAAAGCTTCGTTTTGAATATGGGTAACATGAAGTGCGATCGGAACGCATAATGTGCACAAAAGCAAGGGATCACGGTTGACGTCTTAACATGAATATGTATATAAATACAGACTAAGCAAAAGACTATTGGGGGTTATTAAATTGACACGGAATCCTATTCGACCTTCGGAAATTCTGGTGCTCAAATTCATTGAAAAACAAATAGCAGATAACTTTTATCCGTGAATTATGCGTAGAAAATGTGAGTGAGAAAAACCTGTGCTGTTTCTTCAGACAACATAGACAACTAAGTGAAGTTGAATTTAAAAATGGGGTTCACTCTGGTGACGAGCTTCATTTCCTTTACACCAAATAACCACTTAACTCACGAAAACTGGGGCGTGACTTTTTCAGCCGTAGTAACCTTTAGGTTATCGTTCAAAATCGACAAATTTGATCATTTCCGAACCC